CATCGCCCGGCACTCCTTCGCCTACGCGGTCGCGGTCTCCTCCCGTTCGCACACTGCCCGCGTACGTGCCGTCTGCCTCACCTAATCCTCCCGCGCATAGGCATGCGTCTGTGCATGTTGCCCACTCGAGCGCCACCGCACATGCCCCGTCCTTGTCGCTCACCTCCCGCGCGTGTGCGCCCGCACTCGGCAGTCCGATGCCCACAAGGCAACGGCTTCCTTCCGCGTCACCTGTACTCGCGCGCTTATCGCGCGCTTCGCCCCCGTCGGCTTCTTCGCGCGCGTCCGTGCTAACGCCCTGGCCCTTATCGCCTACGGCGCATCCCCGCGTACCGTCCGTGTTACTGCCCGTCCCAGCCATCCCCGCGACCTGGCCACCTATCGCACATCCAGCTTGCATCACGTCCTCACTGCCCGACGCCCGCTCGTCACCGACCGTCCAACCGCGCGCATCATGGGCCGATGCGCGCCACTCGCCCATTAGCCGATCATCGTCGCCCTTCCCCTCGGCGACCGTCCCCTTTGGTTCGGGCCATGGGTCCCATCCCTTCAACCTCACACAATCATCCGCCGGTATCCACCATCCCTTCTTTTCCCATCGCAAACCACGCCTCTTAGCCTCCTTCCTTTGAGCTTGTCTTTTCTTTGCACAAGGCTCACATCTACATTGGCTTGCTCTTCGGGCCCTTGCCTTGCGTTGTCTCTTGGCCGTTCGTTTCCTTACCATCGACTTCAGCTTTGGCCCACAACCTTTTGGCCACTCTTGTACGTATGATGGCCGGTAAATAGGACTAGATGTCGCGTCAAACATGTTTTCCAACCAAATATCAAGATCATCGCCATCATCATTGTCGGATTCACCGGGGTTGATTACCACTTCCGTATCATTCCCCTCCTCTTCAAGTCTATCCTTGTCCTCAAGGATTAAGAAATTAAGCGCACCTTCACCCTCGTTGTTTCCTTGGACATCAATCACCATTACATCTTGGGCCCGTACGATTTGTCTTTCACGCTCCTCCCAATTTCTTCGTTCATGAAGCTCTTCCAAAAATTCTTGCTCCCATGGAGTTAATTCCCTTTCCAATCCTTCAAGATACTCGAGATCTTCTAGATCTAACTCATCCAATGGTAACATCATGATTTTTTTTTTTTTTTACTCTAAAAATCGAAAAATAAATGGGAAAAAATTCGAAAAATTCGAACCCCCAACAAGACTCAAAAAATCGAAACAAAGAGAAATTCGGCCCC